TTTGTCCATTTTGGGATTTCTGAGCGTTTAATACTTGTTTGGCTCTTGGCGGGCACCCAGAGGGGATGAGGTTACATTGTTGTTGTTTCTGTGTGCTGACGCAGCCGGATGTACCAGTGCATACGGGTGATCCCATGACGCCAGTCCTGTTAAGCCAAGCGATTTGGATGCACCAAACAGTCGTCGGGAACACCGAGGAGAACATGCAGTACCTTGGAGCTCAGATGTGACCTGTCACTGTTCTCTCGTGCGGTGTCGACCCCTGGGATGCATGAATGGACGTGTCAGATGTGTCCTTTTTGCTACCTGGTCTCCTGGAGGCATTCCTCCAATTCCCACAGTTTGAAAGGTCCTTGGTTTGTGCTTTTACGAGTCTCTTTTATGATGCTGCGCGTTCATGCACCCAGTCTCTGAGGCTTAGGTTGTAATGTGAGATTTATCAGCCTTGTAGCATAGTGAGCATAGCACTAGTCTTAAAATAGCCCCCCAACCTCCCTCATGAGCCGCATGGGGCTTGGGTGGGTGGGGGGAGTTCCACAACAGATAGCTCATGTAAAGAGACCCCCCCCCCCCAACCCACCCAACAGAGCTCCAAGCTTGGATTCGGAAGGCTGTGGCTGCCTGCCCGACAGGCATCTTTAAGTCCTCATGCACTGACGTCACCTGCTAAATGGTGCCCTGGTTTATTTTTGACCCACTTTTGGCCGCAGTTTCCCTCCATGCCCATGGGGGGATGAGCTGACGAATCAGGACGATGCTCTGCAAGCTCCGTGCTTGATTTCTTGCAGTTGTGGCAAGATTGGGGTATGTGAACGCATGGGGGTGAAAGGAAGTTGGCACAATATGAACTACTTGTATTTATTTCTTTGCAATACTGTTTTCGGTCTCTAGTGGTTACCACTGCTTTTGATCCAGCTCTGTTCTCTGGCACGTTCCTCAGGCTGTAAAAATACTGCCTGGATGCTTCTTTTCCTTCCCCCATTTTTCTGCCCGCTGTGGTGCAGTCCGGCCCTGTCACGCACAGCTGCCCCGTGCCGCCCCGTTCTTTGCATGGACTCCCGCCATTGGAGTCCTCCTCGCTGTCCCTTTGAGTCACGTGCCAGAGCGTCAGTCCAGATTGCAATAGTTTCTTGTCCTTGTCCAGCATTGGCCGGAGGAAAGGACTTTCCCGGGGGGTTGGGGTTAACTGTCATTAATGGACTGGGGGATCAGAACAGCAATTTAGAAGTGGACATACACTCACCTAAAGGATTATTAGGAACACCTGTTCAATTTCTCATTAATGCAATTATCTAATCAACCAATCACATGGAAGTTGCTTCAATACATTTAGGGGTGTGGTCCTGGTCAAGACAATCTCCTGAACTCCAAACTGAATGTCAGAATGGGAAAGAAAGGTGATTTAAGCAATTTTGAGCGTGGCGTGGTTGTTGGTGCTAGACGGGCCGATCTGAGTATTTCACAATCTGCTCAGTCACTGGGATTTTCCAACAAGGAGAAACACCCGGGAAATACTGA